TTCAGATAGACTGAGTCCTGTACTCTGCTACTGTAGGCAATAGCCTAATCTCCTTCATTAGTTTTTCTGTTTCTGTCCTAGGAACAGTTAGGTCTTTCGCCGTCACTGCTTGGAAGGTGGATTCATATCGGCACGTTCAATAGCAGTGTGATTTATTAGGGGGGAAAAAAGGCCAGCAGTTGCCTAGAATGTTTAGTGTTGTATATGCTCAATGGAGTTATAACGCATCACAGCCTGTGCACCCTGCAAAGATGCCTAGTTCACTTGTAGTTTCAGAAATGCTCGTGCCAGATAAAGGAACGTGGCTCTCCAGGTGTAGCAAATAGTGCTGTAATCAAATATTTGCCATCAGGTATTCTCTACTCTCTGTTGCTGCCGTAGTCCATCTGCGAGCAGGTCTCCATAGTGTATGTGAAAATGAATGCTGGAGAAGACCTCTATCTTTAGAGCGTATGCCTGCTCCCCAGTAAAAGGGACGGAGGATCGGAGATCAAAAGAAATGACTGTGACTCACTACAGTGCAGTGTATTTTCCATTCAGTAATAAAATCTTATCTAAATTTGGTAAGGAACTCTAGGAACTAATTGCCCTAGTTATTTACCCGTTTATTTTTTCTAGATGTTTGTCCCTTGCCTCTATAGCAATTATGTACTGTATGTTTTAGGGACTACAGAGGTAAGATTTCAGTAATGACTGTTGTATGGTATTCTAGATTAAGGACTTCTGCTCTTGGAAGATTGATTGGTGTCGTATTTTCAGTCACCTCCTTCAAAAACTGCAATGAAATTAGGAATAACAAAAGCTCTCGGAATACTTTGGATTTTAGCAGTCTTGTATGGTGTTAGAAAATGTGAAAAAATTAATAAAAGCGTCAATAGCACGTAATGAATTTAAATCGCCAAACTCGGCATCTGTTGGGAAGAGGTCACATTTACGATAAATCACATATTTGCTACTCCAAAAATTGCAGTTGCTCAAAATTTCTTGTCTAAGATTTTAATAAATAATAACATTGCTAGCTGTATTATGGTCTTTCTGTGGCAGTGTCTTTCTAAGAAACTTGATGATCTTCTGGGCCAGAGACTGATTGGACTTTGTTTTGTTATTTGCAGTAGTGGACCAAAAAGCATTAGAGTGAATGAAAATGGAATTTTTAAAGCATAATTAAGTGATCTTAAAAAAAAAAAAAAAGTCTGTTTTTTTTCCAATTAGAATAATACAGAAGTTTCCTTTGCCACAAGACAAGGCCTTTTGCAAATGGAGCATCTCTGAAGATGAGAAATACGGGAAAGTAACTGAGGTTCATATGTTTGCACAACATTTTTAATTGAGAAATGTTATAAATTATTTCATTCTTGATTAGTCTGTAGTACTGGAAGTGAATGCACTGGTTCATCTCCCAAGTGCAAGTTAACAGTATTTTCCCTTTTAATTTTATACGTAAACAAGTTTTTGAACGTTGAGGATAACAAATCCTCACATATCCTTAATTTGTGATGAAAATAATTTTAAAAGGTTTTATTTTTTGCTGATTCTGCTGTGTTTGCAGCATTACAGTATGCAGTCAGTTCTTGGGGAGAGTTTCTAGCACTTTTAGGATTAATTAAATTTAATTCCTGAAAATCAAGTTGGCAATTAAAACAGAGCTATTGAAGATGCTGGATGTTCCACTTTTGAAACAAATTTTTCACTACTGTGCATTGTATAAAAAGGAGTTCAAAGAAAACATAAGACCCTGATTCAAAAGCTCATTGAACTTCATGGAAGGCATCCTGTTTGGGGGCAATATATTGGCCTTTACGTTGTACTTAGTTTATTAGGTCAGGAGCTCACTGAAGTTTTATTCATGGGAGATCATTTCCTGTATGAGGTAGCAGTTCAGAAGCTGATTAATGTCTGTGGTACAATTTTTTTCTAGAGTTGAACAAACACAATTTGTGATTTTTATAGTATTTAAAAAAAACCAAAAACAAACAACAAACAAACCAAAATAATTAGGCAATATACAAAGGCTGTGTGGACCACAAATGGTCCACAGACAACTTTCTTTGGCACACCAACATTTTTGCTCTTTCAATACAAGATAAAACAGCTTGTCCTTCAGTATCTGTGTGAAGGTGCTAAGTAGGAAGCAGAGAACCGTAAAGGTAGAAGTAAAAATGGGTCCCTTGTGAGTTGAAGCTGTTAGTGAAAGTAATGATATCTTTGCATTTATGGGTTAGCAATAAAATTCCTCTTTGCAGAGGGGTAATTCAAGCTCATGCGTTATTTAAGTGAGCTATCAATGGGACATGTTTTCATATGCTTTACATTTTAGCCAACATAAAAGCCAAAAGTCATCTTAATACTTAGGGCAATCCTTCTTCCTTTCTTTATCTCTGCTTCAGTATGTTATGAAAAATGAAATTAAATGAACTTGGAAATACTCAAAACAGCTGTGGACTCAGCACCTGTAGTCAGATGTTAAATGTAAATGATGGAAGCATCTTTAAAATGACCTCATAAAATGATAACGTTTGCTCTGTGTTTAAAGAAGTTGAATTTTCAAATTACAAATTTGCTTCCTTATGAGGATGTTATCAGAAGGCATATAAAATCATTGTCTCACTTTCATTTGTGATTATAAAGCAATAAGTTTATTTTGGAAGTTACTAATTTGTATCTAATTGGGATGCAGGGAGGGAGGCTCGAGTTAGTATTGTTTACATTCAAATGTACCCTTGGATGTTTTATCAAATCCAAAGAAAAGACAGGTTGTACAGAATTTGAATCAAAAGTTATCTTCAAGTTTTAACAAGATTCCTGTTTAAAAGAGAAAGACAAACCACATCAAGGTAACCGGTAGCACTTTGCCCATAATTCGTATCATTAAGTCAACTGGTATGTCTAATCTATAAAATCATATGCTCATCTCAAATCTTTGCCAGACAAAACACGGCAATTTTAAGGCAGATAATAGCACCTTTGATGGTGTTAGTTAAAAAACATGGTATTTGAATGAAATAGTTCTTTTGTTCCTAAATTTTCTCTAGCAATTTATTCTGTATGTTCTATGAAATGTCCAGCATGGGCAGTGTCTAAGCATTAAAGGTCTGATTTTCAGAGGTGATAAGTACCTTCCACTCTATTAATAGTCATCGTTAGCCTTAGCAGCTCCAACTCTTGAAGGTTTTTCGGTGTTATCCTTGTGTTACATATGGGGTTTTCTTCGCTTCTTTCATAATACTGTTAGGCATTACTGGCAAGTACAGTTATGTCATCATTGTGTTTTGCCTCAGGGTGGGTGAAACGACGGCTCTGCGCATGGGAGTTACACCAAAGAGGAAACAAAATCTGTGCTCTTCTTGTTTAGATGGAAGGGACAGAGTGAGACCTCTACCAAAGTACAGCTGCTTGCG